GTTATTAGTCACCATGTGGGTGCTGGGAGCCAAACCCAAGTCCTCTGCAAGAGCAGCCAATGCTCTTAACCACTGAGCCATCTCTCTAGCCCCCTTTTTTAAAAATATACAATTTCTTTTATGTTTTAAAAACATTTACTAATCGTGTCTATAAACTATCTTATAAATTATGTAATTTTACAACACATTTATATTCCTGAACATTTCAAACTTCAATAAACTTACTAATAGTATTTGGCTATTTAATATTTTATTCATATTTGGATGCATCATAACCACTCTCTAATATTTATAGGAATATTCATAGTCATCTTTATAGGAATATTTTTTAAAGTAAGATTCTGATTGATTATCAAAAGAAATAACATCTTTATATATATAACCAGGAATCAAACTCTGCGAATGAAATCAAAATTAATTTATAAGAATGAATATTTGATAACACTTTAAATTTTAATATAGAATTTCTCATATTCTTATTATTTCTTAAGATGTCTGTATCTTACTTGAAATTTTTCTAATATTTATCAATTTATAAAATAACTTTCATTTTGAGTTCTTTTCAAGTTGTCTAAAAATTATTCATTTATTCTGTTCTTTGGTTTCTTATTCTTATAATAAAATTATACCGAATCAATAGTGACTATTGCTAAGGTCTTTTCTATAATTTCAACTGATGATACATAATTCAAAAAATTGCAGTCTGATAATATATGCTTTTTTAGAAATATGAGTGCGCAGACATCTTTACATCTGCTGTATCTTTTCATAAAACATTTGGCTATATAAGTACCAAGTGAATGCTTATGAAATAAGAAAATGCAATTTTCAAGTCTACATATATTTTTAAAGGTTCTAAAAATAAAAAAGTCTCAGAAATCAGAAAATATGCTATATTACTGTTCTGAGTTATTCTCTGCAATTTATATATCTCCCAACTTTGTTATGCAAAATTATTGTGCCAGCTACTTCCAAATAATGTAAAAATAAATGAGCAAATCCAATAACATGCTCCAGTCCAAATGTGAACCTAGAATACATTAAATCTAATTAACTTGTTGTAGGGACTATCTGGTTGCTTCTTAGCAGAATTTACTTGTGTCTACTCTCTTGCAGGAATGAAATGAGAGAATTTTTCTTTTACCAACCAGCAATACATTTGATGTTCTCGGCTGTTACAATTGTTTTTTGTTTTGTTTCGTATTTAAGACAAGGTCTCTGTGTAGCACCAGGTGGCCTGAACCTCGCTATGTAGACCAGGCTAGCTTCAGTCTCATAGAGATCTGCCTGCTTCTGCTTCTCACCTGCTAGGATTAAAGGTGTGTGACACCAAGAATGGCTCTTGTTACACTTTGACAAATGAAATCTCCTTTCAGTTTCTAGCTCCATTACTTCCATTCTATTATATTGGGGGACTGAGGATGTGGCTCAAGGTCTGCGATGTAGCACCTGGTTCAAAGCCAACCTGAGACATATGAGACCCTGCCTCCAAAGAGAAAATGAGAATAAAGCTTATCATGTACTAGAATAAATAAGACAATTTGATAGTTAAATTCAAATCCTTTAGTGTTTCTACACTAAATAAAAGTTCAAGGAAACAAAGGCTGCTCTTGATTCGTTTATGTAGCAATGGTTTCTGGTTGTGATAATGTTGAAGATGAAATTAGAGAGGGCCTTCACTGGAGGCACTGATGGAAGACCAGACCGTTCAGTTGGAAGAAATCTTGAGCAAAGATATAATGGCCCACTTCACTGGAAAATAGTAGTGCAGTTCTCTCACAAAGTATAAACAGGGCACTGGAGATTGGTGATGCTATAATGGCCTAAGCTACATTGTTTAGGGTAAGAATGCAAAGCCAAGTCAGCAAAAATTTGGAGCTAGTATATGCTTAGCACAATAGTAGCAATGATTGTTACCCAGTCTGATCTGCTTGTCCAAATGTCTAAAATAAATGCATGGTAAAATGAAAAACTGATATGTCTTTAAATGTTTTATGAGTTAAATATTACATTAGTGCCTCCCTTGATTTCCAAACAGAAGCCTCATAATTAACAATTGATCATCAAAAATCAACTCCAAAGTCTCTTCATTTCATAGGGAGCTCATACTTATGTAACAGGGGAGAAAAGTCATACAATTAGACTGAAAGAACAGAAAAACCTTTCAAAATCTTTCTTTCATGCACTAAACTCTCAGAGACTGTTGCTTTTAGCAAAAAGCACAGGGAAAGAGTGAGGGGAAAGAAATCTAAAGAAATCCTAAAACTAGCAAGTCATCATCAATCATTGGGTTTTCTACATCATCTATTTACCCACCACTCCATTGATACCATCGACATTAAGACAGAGGTAATAACTCTGTTTTCACAAGCCATGTACCATATACATAATGCAATATGATGCTGAACCTTTTTTTCATTTGATTTCATAACTTTCTTTTCATTGTTTTCACCAACAGGCCATCTTTTTACTTGGTTATTTTCCTTGTAATTAATGTAGTATAGTATATTATCTTTGCCAATGCAGACTTGTTTGAACATGGATCAATCATTCATGAAGACTCAATAGTGTCAGAAATCATATGCTAAAAGTTTACTACAAACTACATGACCACATGAAAGCTCAATAGTTCAGCAGTTTGTTTCTTAAGTTTGAATGATCCAATTGGACTTTCTTTTCATTCAAAGCAAAGATAATGTCACCATGAAAGAAATGAAAAAAAAAACATAAATGTTTGGAAAACAGCCCATTGTGAGATGCAGAATCCAACATTTGTTGATAACCTCTTTATAAAAACAAAACAAAACAAAACAGAAAAAAAAACCTCTTTAAGACAAAGGAGATTTATCATTTCACTTTGGAAGACATTGACTAGAAATGTTCTAGGTCAGATAACAATTTACATATTTCAATTTGACTTTTTAAATTCCAAATTAATAAGATGAATAATTTGTTGTTTTTCTTCCTAAGAAAAAGAAATTAGGAGCTGGAGAAATGGTGCAGAAGTTTAGAACACTTGGAAGAGTACCTGAGTTCAGTTCCCATCACCTACTGTCCATCATTCCAGTTCCAGGAAATCTGGCCTATTCTTCTGGCCTCTGGGCATATGCACACATGTGATGTTCTACTCATATTAGGCAAAACACTTATGTATATAAAATACAAATAAATAAAATTATTTTTAAAAAGGAAAGGAAATTAGAAATGTGTTATATAGAAATTGTCTGAAACAAGACCACATATTCTCATTTGGCTGAGGATATAGTTCATTACTAGAGTGCTTTCCTACTATGTGTGAAAGCTCTAGATTAATCCAGAGTACTATCGATATTTTCGCTATCATAGATTCAGAAATATTTCAGTTGCATAATACTATTAAATACCTTATTGTGAATAGCAATAGATAAAACTTTCTAAATAGCCAATTTAATACTAATTTAATATTCTTTAGATACTATTTAAAATGCCGTGAAAATTTGTTTAGTCAGTGTATATTTTACACTAAATGAAAGAATGTTGGCTGGAAGAGAAAAATAAGGATGGATTTTATACTATCAAATAAATGGACATTTTATAAAAATTTCCATTTCCTGTTTTGGGATATTACATGACAAAAAGACACACATTTAGATTTCTCAAATATCTCTTGGAATATACTCTTTTTCTCTTACATAAAAGACAAGTGTTGGTAGGATTGCTGCTTGCGAACTACACTGTGAGTCAGTTGTAGTATTTTAGCAGAATGACATTAAAACATTGAAGAGGAAAAGTTTAAGCAGTAAAACTTTTGGTGAGATGTAGTCTCAATTTCTGAGTATTGAAGACCTACTTTTAAGACGATCAATGGCAGGCCAGGTATGAGGGTGCATGCCTTTTAATTCAAATACTCAAGAGGCAGAGGCAGGGGGATCTCTCTGAGTTCAGAGCTAGTTGGGTCTATCTTGTGAGTTCTAGGCAGGTTAGGGTTACAGAGTGAGATCTTGTCTCAACAACAACAGCAATAGTAACAAACAAACAAACAAAGAATATCAGGAGCATTCTTGATAGATGAGAATGTACCGCAGTATCCTTCTCCCTAGGAATTCCATTTATCTACCTGACTCTCAATGCTAGCAAATATTCCATATGCTAGATGTATTTACTAGACTGCTTCACTGTAACAGTTCAATGAGCACAAAACTCATTCAGAATTCTAACAATATAATTTCTTCAACTTATGAATTTTAGAACTTTATAATCCAATACCATTCCTTTGTCCAGCTGACTTTATTCTCCCCCATTTGCCTCTATGTTGAGTACAGTTTTTTTTTTCTTAATTAGATGATATATTGAATGATTAGAAAACAAAAACCTAGATCATGGTCCCCTTTTTAGACACAGCTTTAAAAGAGGAAACACTATTTTACATGTGGTTAGAGAAAGTGTGAGGAGTTTGTTGATTCAGGAAAAGGAAGAATCAGAATTCCCATGGCCGCCATTTTTTGTGAGCCTTTTGGGACAGCAAGGCTAACCTCATCATTGAATGAAAAGAATAGCGCATTTTGTCAATGCTTAGCTTAGGGAAGTCAGATGCCACAGTTGTCCATTGTTTAGAAAAGTGCTGAAATCTTGGGGGGTGATTATTACTTAGCCAGAGGCAGGGGACACCAAGTCAGAATTGTCTCAGAAACAACAGTTAACACTGTGGTTGTGGTATTTCTTCTCCTGATATACGCCTTCAGAGCACTATCAAATAAGAGTAAAGTATGTTCTGCTAACTAAATTGACTTAACATCGGATATATCATTTATTGACTGTTATTACTGTTTCCTGAAAGCTGTTTGTGTTTGTAGGTTTTCTAGCTTAATTTTAGACATGTTCCAAGCAGATCAGACTAGAGAAGTCAGAATTGCGAATTTAATATTGTCCAGGTTGTGTAGGAACATATTGCATGAGACAGTAATGTAATTTGTGAGAAATGTCTACACGCAGGCTTTCATATACCTTTATTCTGTCTTTAGAATTTGGAATGATGGGAGATCATACAATTAAAAGTCAGCGGCCTCGATCTGTCCATGAAAAAAGGGTCCCTCAGGAACAAGCTGATGCTGCTAAATTTATGGCACAAACTGGTAATACGTTAGTTACATTTTTCTATTTATTGTTGTTAATTTAATGAAACCACTGCATGTTTTCATGATTCTTTGCTGCACATTTGTCAGTTTTTGGAGATGATTTTTTTTAAACATTTTTCTTTTTGTCACCAGTTAAAGTCCATAAATAAAGTAGCTGTGAATGAAATAGCACAAAAAATGGGTAAGATGTAAGACTTAATTTGCTTTTGTACAGGACAGTTTAGGATTTCCATATTATTATTTCCTTATGTTCATTAACCACTAAAATGTGTCATTAAACTTTTGAAGAAAAATAATAAAGTTATCTCTTCAATAATTATTTGAAATAGGACTTTCAAGAATTAGATTTAAATAGGACTTGGATGATGAAATTTAACTTAATGAAACTTGGTATGTTGAATATTGTTCCATGTGTCATAATATCGATAAATATTGCTTGGTTGCTAAAATGCATAGAAGCTAGAATTATTTCTAATGTAATGTATGATTTGGAAATAATTTTGCTATATAAGATAAATAGTAAAAAGTTGATAATCTAAATATAAATAAAACCAACTTTCTGGCTTATAAAATTTCTAATCCTAAATTAATCAGATTATTTTTTAGACTTCTCTACAATGTATATGTAACTGCAAAGTGTATTGCTTTAAGAAAATTTTGAAATTCATAAACATACATGAATATATATTTTATATATATAGAATTTATACTGAACATTAGTCTACAGAGTTTTTCATCAAATAAACTGGGTCATGATTTGGCTGCTCATAAGAAGTGAGCAGTTCCGTTTAGGAACATTGCATGTGACATCTACAAAATGGAAAAATCAAAGCTGTGTTATGAACATGTTTAGCTCTCACTTTTACTTTTCAAAATTGAAAGCTAAGTTTTTTCTGTGTCTTTATAAGTGGTGTGTATTCCATTCTTCACTCTTTTAGGAGTAGTACAAATTTCAATATGTGACCATCTCTGTGACATGTATTCAGATTGACTTTGATTTAATTACCCCCATAGAATGAATATATTCTTCTGTTCATGAGTTTTTGTAAAAATATTTATTCAGAGCACTCTACCTGAATCTACAGCTTAAAATGCAAATATTACTATTGAATTATACTCTTGATAACAGATAAGTAGTAGATCTTAACATAATTAGTTGTAAGTCAAATTCTGAAAATAGGATGTGATATGCAGAATAAATTCTATAAGGACACATTTTAAACTTTTTAAATATTTTTACTGATTTGAGAATTTTGTGCATTTTGATCATATCCAGATCCCCTCTGCCCATCCCCATCTATTGCCCCTCATGAGTCTTGTCCTTATTATTTGTCTTTTTTTTTTTAAGCCTATAAAGTGTAATCTGTTTTTCCTATGTGCTCTTGAGTATGGCTCTATCCCTTGGAAGATTCCTACCTACCAGACATCAAATCAGTAAAGAAAACTGACTCTCCATCTCCCAGCATCTATAAATTGCCAATAGAGCCTCAGCTAGGGCTGGGGCTCCCTGCCTAATTTCTCCACCCATGTTGTTCCCCTGTCTAGCTTGAGTTTGCCCGTATTTAATTTTTTTTCAATATATATGTTATGGCCATATCTAGAAATGGATCAAAACATACTTTTCTGGACTGCTTTTGGTGCCCATTATTTTTAAAAAAAGATTTACAGTTTTACCAATTACTTGATTATTTAGGAGATTTACATTTATCATAAATTTCAACCACTGAGCAGAGGTTCAGGAATCTGGACTCTAATGGAAAGACACATGGGCTGACTGCTCAGCCTCTTCAGCATCACCCCTGAGAACATGTCTGCCGTATTAGTGACTTGTTTCTCTTTTGTGCAATAGAGTTATCAAATACCGGTTTACCAAATTCCTAAAACATGTAGTCACTGGGGAGTGAAACAGAGATAGTTTTAAATGTCTTATAGAGTAGTAAAGTTACTTTGTGTATTCAATATTAAGCATTGTGACCCATAATTGTTTAAATTCAGTTTTTAAAAATGAGTTTTTAAAAATGTTTGTTTACAGAAACCGAGAAGATTAAAAAATTTCAACTAAAATGTTTTAACAAATTCAAATCACAAAGAAAATTGAATTGTTAAAGAATAATTAATAATTACAGTTTTATAATTATTTCATAGTTTTCAGTCATTCTTTTCTGTATGTGTTTTTCAGTAATGAGTGATTTGGTAAGTAGATGAAACATTGATTAAATAGCTACATTAGCAACTTCAAAACTGCTTCATGTTTTTAAACAATAGCTCAGAAAAGGCCATGAACTTCAAAATTAAAGTTCTAAATATATTCATTAGATGCTTGAATTCATGAGAAATAGCATTTATTACTTCATCTTAAATGAAAGCTAATGTATACAAATGTAAATATATATGTATTATACTTACTTTGACATTAATTTTAATGCTGACCTAATACTGAAAACTGCATTGTATTAAGCTTTTTTAAGATTCATAATTCAATACTATACAATTATAAAGCCAAAAAGATAAAATAACTTTTCCTTAAATATCTTATTAATTTCTTTTGATGTAATGTAGACTAAATAGATGCAGGCCATACAGTGAAATTTTATAAAATTAAGAATTACTTATAGAAATTATCTGTTTCTCAAAGCAAGGTATTGGCATTGCCTATAAACCATCATGAAATTTGACTAGCAATAACTTGAGAACAAAGAATGATACAATCGAGGAAAAAATGAATAATAAAATAATTAAAATCACATAATATTTTATATTAATCAAGGGAAAAGATAGCAAAAGTGACCATACCCTAGCATTTCTCCTTTCCTCTGCATCACAATTAGTAAATATTTTCCTTTTAAAAAGCTTCTTTAGGGGCTGGAAAGATGACTCAGTGATTAAGAGTACTGGCTGCTCTTGCAGAGGATCCAAGTTTGGTTTCCAACAGCCACATGGTAGCCAACAGCACTCTGAAAATCCAGTACCAGGGCATACAACACCCTCTGCTGACCTCTGAGGGCATTACACACATGGGTACACTTACATGCAGGCAAAACACTCATACACATAAAATACAATAAAATAAAATAAAATTTTAATCTTTTCTAACCAGAAATAAAGTGAATCATTACTTTTAAATAGGATCTTTATAAACTAACATTATTTTATTGGAATAATGAGATTATATTGTTAGGGCCAGTATAGTATCTGAGATCACTCTGAACATAAATTAGGATAATTTAAAAGCCTCAGACAAAACTCTGTATTCAAAATTTTTAAAATGAAATTATAAATGTAGATATTTAAGAGGCACATCCCAGTTAAATATTAGTAGGATAGCCTAAGACATCTTAATTGTACTTATAGATTTTTTTTCATAGGCATGAAATGAATTTATAAACATGTTTTAAAAATCAGATTTAATTACATAGGGAAAACAGCCCAAATTAGGAACACTAAAACAGGAAAATAAAATTAAATGTATGTTTCTAATTTCATGATTTTAACATACTAGCAAAATTTATATTAATATCTTATTCATAATTTAAAATGTTTCTCCCACATGATCTCACTCAATTTCCACAATTGGTTTTGAGGTCAATATAATATTGAAGAAGATCAAAAAATAAATTGACTCTTTCAAGGTCTCAGAGTTAATACTAAGTTGCTTTCCCTCAAAAGGGAGTCTTCTCACTTTCGTTTCTATACCCCTGGTTTCTTTTCAAACTTACTACTTCTTAGATATGGAAGAATTCTACAGGATCCTTAACAAACCTTCTGAGTTATGGGCTGGGACTACATCAGTTTGTGCTACCTCCAAAGATACACATCTTGAAATTAGTACTTAGTTTCCATTTTACCATTTCAATGTCATTAAAATATTTAGAGGGTGTGGTGCTGCATGCCTCTAATCTCAGCCCCCAGGGGCAGAGGCAGGAGATCTCTGTGCCTTCAAGTCCAGCCTGGTCTACCTGGTGAGTTTCAGGCCAGCTGGGGCTACAGGGAGACTCTGTCTCAAAATGATTATTTTTTTTTTAAAAAGAGCACTGGCTGCTCTTGCAGTGGAGCTGGGCTGCATGGCAGCTTATAATTATCTCTGTAACTCCTGGCCTTTGTGAGCATTGCAGGACATGTGTGCACTTACATACATGCATGCAAACCATTCATACACATGAAATAAAATAAAAATAAAGAAAGAAAAAAATTTTAATTTTTCTTATAAAGTTAACTATTTCTTATATAACACAATGTGCTCTCCTGAATAAACTTTACAACTTATGAAAAAGAAAATTGCAGTATAAAAATTAAAAATAATCAATGAAAATATCATGTGAAGCATAGCATTTGAGGTGCAGCAAGATTAAATTATTAGTTGGACAATTATTTTATTGGAAAATTTTGATTCTACATTCAAAACACAATTGCAGTTTACTGTTATGTTTGTTTTTATTGAATTTTTCATCTTCTAAATGAGCCATTATTTGAGGGAAAGTGAGGAATACCAGCCTTTAGTATTCATCATTGACTTCTCATGACAGGCAGCACTGTTTGGGTTTTTCAGGATCTAGTAGAATCAGAGTATTAGATGCATTTTAAATTTTCAAATATTTATAGAATATAACATCTTAAACTTGGCCTTGATCCTAATTAATTACTCAGTTTAATTAAAATATTTTTCTGTCACTGCAATGCAAGAGAAATGAACAACTGCATTTGTGGCAAAAATAGCACTAACTTTATTCATAACCTTTGACATTTCACTTACAGAATTCACATTGTCTGTTACTTTCTGGCTTATAATCGATAGCATGCAGCTGTAATATTTATACTAG